GCTGCAATGCTATAATTGCATCATTTCTTGGTACTTTTAAATCAGATTACCTAGGTACTTTGCTAGGAGCGAAAAGGAAAAAGCATTTTTGCAATGTATCTGGGTGAAAAGCAATTGCTGCAGCATAAAGGGCCGACGGGAATCTGGGCTTTCCTACTCTGGTAGCAAAGAGGGGGAATTACGGGTTGGTGGTCGGCTTCATGTTAGGAGGACACCCCTCCATCTGTTCACAGCTTAGCCTGCTTCCAATTTAAAGCCCAGATTTCAATGCAAACCACAATTTCTATTCCCCATTTTAAATGCAAAGCAAGGCTCCTGAATCACATTACTCTGCTACTGGGATTCAGACCAAATTTTCCCCAAAATTCTCAGGCTATTTGTTTGAATACCTGCTTACAGTGGTATACAATGGGCAGCTTTGAGAAGAAAAATTGATAATCTTCATGGAAGAGTAATTTGAATGAAATTACACTTGACAGCCTGTCTCCAAGCAAACAAGAGAAGCCAGGGAGCCTCAGCTAAGCTCTGAGGACTTGCCTGAGCCACTGCTGTTGGAGCTTCCCAGGGGGGAAAAAAAATCACCAGTTTTTTCCAACGTCTAATTGAGGCTTTTGATTAATTCCGTGTACCAGATTCTACTGAAGAAAGGTAGCCATGGAAGAGAATATGGAAGAGGGACAGACACAAAAAGGTACTGTGCTAAAAAGGGTTTATTTGTAATTAAGTCATTATTTTGTAGTTTCCTTGTTTGCTTTAGACACTTGCCAGTAGGCTAATGAATGTTTCTCTCTTGGAAGGCATTTTTTTTCCTCTTCTCTCTTTAGTGTTCTACTTATGATAATGTCTGGCATGAATGTTATTATTTGTAAGTCTTTCAGATATATGTAGCCAAATGCATAGTCGAGTAATAGTGATAAGAGCATTGCGGTATTATCGGGAACTATTCTTTAGACCAGTCTTTGTTAACCTTCATTTATTTCATGTTTCCACGCTTGTCGAGCTGGGTCAAGGGATTCGTGGTGTTAACTATGAGAAAACCACTAATGCAGTATGTGAAGCTAGTTGTAGTGAAAAACCTGATGATGTAACCTTTATCTGTATCTTTGAACGCATATCTGATAGAACAAAGACCAAAAATATATTTGTTATATTTTGGCTTGGTGCATCTTTAAAATATATATATATATATTTGTTTATTGAGGTGGATGCGAAGATTCATACGTTTTCAGGATGCATAGTGACCTAGGATTTTCCTTTCTGTATCATTTCCCATAATCAACTTCTGAGTAATTGATGTCAAGGAAATCTTCTGATTCATTTTTTTAAGGTTGTGTAGGCATATGTGGCTGGATGAGTTAAAATAAAATTTCTATTTTTATTGGTCAAAAATGGTCAATTTTTGGCCATTTCAAATGATTCAAGCAAACATCTATAGGATCTTTTTATGTGTCAAGTGGTCAGTGTGGAGGGAACTGTGTCTTTTACCCCAACGTTGGCAGTGTTTTCTCTCTTGTCTGAGCTCTGGCTTATGTAATGCTTTGGAAAATGCTCTTGTTTTCTTAGGAGTGAAACAGTGACATAGGTAATACTACATAGAGGTAGTATTTTTAGAGTAGTATGAAAAGACTCAGCTGTCAAAGTTGATTTAGATTGTATATGATTGTACATATTTTTTATATACTATATTTTACATGATAAAATAGTTTGGAAACATAGCATCATTTTTCATTATTTTGATCCATTCAGCTCTGCTGGGTCTCTTAACATGAGATATATCAGAGGCTATTAATGTTAAATATAATGAAGATTTTATATAAGCAATAGAGGAATATAAAGATAAGCTGATATCCAAATTTTAGTCATTAATATCCTTGCTAATGGTACTCTGTGATGGAGAAGACAAAATATTCTACAGAGAAATTACATGATATGCTTAAATCATATTCTAGAAACCCTCTATTACTGCCATTATTATGTGAACATTGATTCATCAGTGTTACCAGTAATTTTAAATGGCAAACTTTCATGTTAGTTTCCATTTCTAGAAGACATCTCAATTTCTATTTACTTTAGGAATAAAATATCTTATTTTAATGTCTTTTTTATAGTACATATGAGACTGCTTCTTGACCAGACAACTTGTTTAGGCAAGATAAACTGATAATTTTAAATATAGTAGAGAAATGATATCACCACATTACATGAAACCTGGAGTAAAATCATGGATTATGGTAACAGGTTGAATGTATCTGCCCAAGCGTTGGTAGATAACCAAAAAAGATGTAGTTAGTTTTCATGTTATTTTTCCTCAGGTAACACTGAAAATCTTTCTTTTGTGGGGAGCAGGGAACCCTGCGATGGGAATATCTGTCACAGTGGATTCTTTTTTGTCCTTAAGATGTTCATAGCTAAATCAGGAACAGTGGTGGAAAATAATTCTAAATCAGAAAATTGTTTAGCAGTCTGTAAATATGCATGGGTATGTAAGTAAAATATTTAAGATTAAACATTATTTATTTATTGAGAAAGGCATTGTTTTATTTTCTTCATTTCTGGTCTTCAGTTCTTCTCAACTCTGGCTATGCCACCTTTTCTATATGTTTATTGTTAGAAAGTTATATTTGAAAACAAATGTTCTATCTATATGTGCCAGGACAGGAAACAATGTGGAATATGATGAGATCTAAATTGCAGGAGCTATTAGGCAAACAGATAAAATCATTAGAGATTTCTCAAGAGTTTAGAACATCAGATTTAAAGATCCTTCTGCTTTAAAGGAAAGCAGTACTTTGCGTTAGCTCTTATCCATTTTTTTTTTTTTTTTCTTTCAAGATTGCGTAGGATTTTCTTAAATAATAGTTCAGGTATCACAGGGTTTTCTTTAATTTCAAAGAGTTTGTGCTTTTTTTTTTTTTTTTAATAATATAAGCCTTTTGCTCTGTCTCCTTACCTCTATACATCAGAAAGACTGAAACTCATGTTACTGTTCAACAACATCACCTTGCAAATTCAACTATAGAATGTAAGATGGAAACCAATAATTTCATTAAACATATTTGAATAGATAGATAGATATAGTTGATGCTTAATGACTTATAAAGATCTACTATAAGAAATAGATTTTTCTTCAGAGTGAACTTCTCTCCTAATCTATAAAAAGCAATTGAGAGCAGTCACAACATAAGTACATTTAACTGTCACATAAAATTACTATATGTGCTTCAATTGGGAGAGAGGATAATTTAAAAGTGTGGGTCCCTTTACCAGCCATTCTATTCCAAGTGTTTATGACTTGGTATGAAATGGAAATGCCTCCTTCTCAAAAAGTGAGTATCTCATCATTGTGCCGAATGGGAGTCTTAGAAGAAACATTCATTTCTTGTAAAATTTTCTCTTTAAATTAAAGCCAACTACTTTACCTTGTGTTAAAACCAAAACAATAATGTTCCAGTTCTCATTACTGGAGTAAATAAAAGATTGTTTTGAACTTTGAACTTGACCCTCCCTAAAGTATGGCCATATCAATTCTATAATTCCTGTCATCAAAACTCAAGATAAATGATTGCCAAATCATGAGAGCAATGGCTCCTATTTCTGTAGAAGAGTTCATCAAAATGCACAAATATATTTTTATGAGAATTATAAAGTATATATTTATGACATGTAGATATGCAACTATCTCTGGAATGTTTCACCAAAACTTATAAGAAAAGATATAATGATTTATGGGTTTCCAACCACTACTCAGCTATCAGTTTGTCATACTGTGGTGGCTTGCATGTTCTTGTGTTGCTGGAAACTATACCACTGGTATTTCAAATATCAGCAGGGTCACCTATAGTGGTCAGGCTTCAGCAGAGCTTCCAGACTAAGATAGACAAGGAGAAAGGATGTGACTAGGTCCACTTCTGAAAAAATTAGCCACTGAAAACATTATGAATAGCTCAAAAATATTTTGCGTTAGCTCTTATCCATTTTTTTTGAAGATAAGCCCCTCAGGTTGAAACACATTCAAAATACGGCTAGGGAAAGCTGCCTCCTCAAAGTTGAGTCGACTTTTATGACATAGATGGAGTAAAGCTTTTGGGACCTTCATTTGTGGATGGAGCATGACTCAAAATGAGAAGAAATAGCTGCAAACATTGGTTAGTAATCAGAATGTGCAACATCGGGAGTATGAATCTAGGAAAATTGGAAGTTGTAAAAAATGAAATGGAACACATAAAGATCAACATCCTAGGCATTAGGGAGCTGAAATGAACTGGTGTGGCCATTTTGAATGTGACATACATACAGTCCCCTATGCTAGGACTGACAAATTGAAGAAAAATGATGTAGCATTCATTACCAAAAAGAATGTTTCAAGATCCATCCTATAGTACAGTGCTGTCAGTGAAAGGATAATACCCATAGAATGACCAGTTAATACCATTGTTATCTGAATTTACACGTCAATCACTAAAGCCAATGTGTGCAGTCTGAAACTGACAATCAAGATGTAGTGACAATTACTGGTGATCATAATGGAAAAGTTGGAAACAAAGAAGCAGCATTGGCAGTTGGAAAATAAGGCCTTGATAATAGAAATGACGCTGGAGATTGCATGATAGAATTTTGTAAGACCAATGACTATCTTTGCAAATACATTTTTCAACAACATAAACAGTGATTATATACATGGTCCTTGCCAGATGGAATCAATTTGTCTACATCTGTGGAAACAGACAAAAGAAAAGTTAAATATCATCAGTCAGAATAAGGGTATGGGCTAACTGCTGAACAGTCCATCAATTGCTCATCTGCAAGTTTAAGTTGAAGCTGAAGAAAATTAAAGCAAGTCCATGAAAATCAAATATCATCTTGAGTATATTCCACCTGAATCTAGAAAATCTTAAAAATAGATTTGATGCATTGAACACCAATGACTGAAGACCAGACAAGTTGTGGGGTGAAAATCTTATTCTTCAATGGAGACCAGTTAAAATGAATGGGAGGAATGATGAAGTAAAAGAGCTGAACAGATTCCAAAGAGTGGCTCAAAAAGACAAAGTATTGCAATAAAATGTGGAAGACCTGTAGTTAGAAAATCGAAAGGCAAAATATGTGCAGCATTTCTAACGCTGAAATAACTGAAGGAAAAAATCCAGCATCATGTTGCAATATTGTGGGATTCCTTGGGCAAAATATTGAATGATGCACGAAGCATCAAAAGCAGATGGAAGAAATACACAGAATCACTGTGTTGAAAAGAATTGGTCGACATTCGTCCATTTCCAAACTCACTGCCATCAGTTCTGACTCATAGTGACCTCTCCTTGGATTTCCGAGACACTATCTCTGCAGAAGTAAATTATCAAATCTTCCTTCCGAGGAGTGGCTGTTGAGTTTGAACCAGCAGCCTTCTGGTGCGGAGTCAAATGCCTTAGTCACTATACCACCAGAGCTCCCAATTTCAACCATTTCAGGAGGTAGCATATAATCGAGAATTGATGGTACTGAAGGAAGAAGTCCAAGCTTCACTGAAGGAACAGTGAAACACAAGACTCCAGGAATTGATGGAATACCCAATGAGATGTTTCAAGAAAGTGATGCAGTGCTGGACAAGAAATTTATAACAAGAAAATGAAAGACAGCAACCTGGTCAACCAACTTGAAGAGATCTATATTTGTGCCCATGCCAAAGAAATGTGA